TTATAGGTACACACCGTGAGATTTACGTCGAGCATAAATCCTGCCGCGTAAATCCCGTTTGGCAGGATTTACGCTAAATCCTGCTCAAATCCGGCCTAAATCCTGTTGCTAAACAGCCCCTTCGGGTTTACTGAATATGCGATTTAAGTTAAAACGGGGACAAAGGGGATTTAAGATTCTGATGCATTTAAGTTCAACCCTAGACTTAGCTCCTCTTACAAAGGAACAGAAGGAGAAAGCTGAGAGCTCGCAACTCTACCGCCCAATCTTAGTAACTAAACTGCATCACCGCCTAACTTCTCCTGAGCGCCAACCAATTCAAGAGTTCCCCGACCTCCTCCGCCGATCTCGTTTTCAGAAAAAAAAGAAATCTATTTGACGACTAGAGGTGAGATTTTCTTCCTTTTATCTAGAGTGAAAGTTAGAGCTTTGGTATGCAAATTAAGAAGATGAAAACCTACCAAGATTGTGGTAATTCATTATTTATTTATTTAATTTTGGAGTTTCTTATGTTTTGTCAATCGAGTATTTTATTGGTCTAGTTCGTGTGTATTATTTTGTTGGATGATTTATGCATCAAAACTTCATTGCAGGTATGTCAACATTTGAATTGTATAGGAGGTCCACCATTGGCATGTGCTTGACAGAAACACTAGATGAGATGGTCTCCAATGGAACCCTTAACCCAGAGCTTGCCATTCAAGTACTTGTGCAGTTTGATAAGGTTGGACTGTAAAGAATTATTTTATGCGAGCCCGGAATTTGATTTACCGACTGCCTTATCTTTTCTGATTGCAGTCGATGACAGAGGCTTTAGAAAATCAAGTGAAGAGTAAAGTATCTATCAAGGTATTGTTGTTGGTGCTCGCAGATTTCACTTTATAACTTATGCCTTGGGTGCTTTCTAATGATGTTTCCTGACATTAGGAATGGTAAAGAAACTGTGTTGTCTATTGATTGTGTAGCATAAGTATTATTTGCCATTTTATCCATTAAAAAGAATTCTATAATTTATTGTATGAAGTTCTCCGAATGCTTTTGCTTCTATGTGGTCACATGTAGAAAAGATTAGAGAGAGTCGCATTAGATGGCTTGGTCACATAAAACGTCAACCTTCCAATGACCTGGTTAGGAGAGTTGATGTATTAGATTTGACCTATGTTAAGAAAGGTAGAGGTAGACCTAAGAATACTTGTTAGAAAGTATTAGAAAGTACATTTTTTATTATATTTGAATGATAATTTGTCTTTTAATAGGACGATTCATGTTGCTGACTCACCCCACATAGTGGGATAAAGGCTTGATGTTATTGTTGTTATTGTTTGATTTATTCAAGCGAGAAGTTGAGAGAAAAAAAAAACACCCATCTTTCATATAATAAATCAGCATGTGTGGCACTTTGCTGTTATAATCAGCTGTGGAACCATAGGATTGTCTATTCTAATATGATTTTTTGGCAACTGAATTTTTTATTAATTTTAAAATTGTTTTTTTACTGATTAATATAATGTAAAATCTTGAGGGAATTAGCTGGATATTAAAAATGTGGACTGGATATTGTGCAAGCATTAATGAACAATATCATTTAATTAATTAATTTATTCTTAAATGCGTTAGCCCTTGCCCTGTTCTATTTGCAAGTTTATACTATTATTGAATGAAACGGGAAAAGTATTATTGAATGAAACGGGAAAAGTTCATTATCAAATGAAGAAAGGGAAAAGAGATGAAATCTATTGGAATAAGGCATTAAGCTTTAAGAGTTAATGCTTTTGTTTTATTTAGAATAAAAAAAAAACTCTATTAAACAAATTGAATATTGCAACTTGATATCATCTTTTTATGATAAGTTTTGTGTCCTTATGAAAAGTATGAAAATGATGAATTGAGGGAGTAAACAACATCAAAATTTGGTGATTCAAATGTTTCTATTGTAATGCTTGTGATCACTTGAGATAGGTTTCATGAGATAGGATCAACACCAACTTGTTTTATTGAAGGAAATATCAGCTAATATAATTTTGTAAAGCATGTTGAATAATTGCACTTTTAAGAATTGTGGGATTTGGGATATACGGCTTGATTTTTTCATATATTTAACAAAATGTTAGTGTGAAACTAGCTGTTAGAGCTGATATGTGGCAGATTGGTATGAATGCTTTAAATGTTAATATGGAGTATATTTGAAATTAATTTTTGTACAAGAAGAATTGATGGATGTGATGATACTTGATACTAAGATCCTCAATAGCCAATGATATGGGGCTGCAGTGTTTAGTTTATGTTTGCTTGAATATAACCCCAATGAAAACGAATTTACACATGCTGATCAAGTAATAAAATGAATGACAAAGTGTGGATCCCTCAAGGAAATTTTGTGCTACATAGAAATTTTTCTAATGTTGTTTACTCAAGCCATGGTATTTGTCCTAAGTAATGAAATTAGGTGTAATCTCTATCTGTAATGCGAAATGCAGGAAACAATGAAGATATATTAATTAAAGTGTTTTGGACTAATGACAGTGATTATCCCAAGATTTTTTTAAACTAACTTCTCTAAATTAGTTGTAAATCAGAGCATATTGTCCTTAGATTTCTATCGAGTTTGTAAGGATGTAAAGGAAGGTTTGTTGTCTTTCTATAATTATTAAATCTCCATCAACCCTAAAATATTAAGCATCCTATGTCTAGGCATGCAAGCATTCCATCTCAATTTTTCTAATTGTTCCAACATTCCTCCGTCAAGGTAATGTATCACACTAGATGTTAATTTTATACATGGTCACTGCATAAATTAAATGAAGAGCATGAGATATTAAAAACAACCATTCATACTTTTAAAACATAAGAGTCTACATTAGAAATTATAAAGGTTTTTACATCATGACTCTAAAACTATGAGTTTAGTTGGTCATGTAATATAAATTAAACAACACAAATGTCATTATTTGCTCGAAAAAGAAAGTACAAGTACATAAGATAAAAAAAATATCACCCAATGTGAATAGTCTCAAATAGATCCTGCAGATGAACCATTTTCAAAGTGAATCTCCTCTTACAACTTCGTTCTGTAGACTTATTTCCTCTCCAATTGATTGTTTTCTCGCTACAATGTTGATCAGTCATTCTAAATGATGTATCTTACTATTTTGTAGTCTCTCTCAGACTATCCTCTAGACTTATCTAAAAAGCTCTCATAGAAAAAGAAGGAAAAATGATTTATTCTTAATAAATAAATGGGTTTAGGCGTCGCGATGCTCGACAAGGTAGTGCTGTGGCATTTGAATATGACCTAGCGCCTCGATGCTGTTTGATTTGCTCCGCTGCGGCGTTGGGCTGACTAGGTGCGGTTATTTTCTGAACCAAAGCGACTTTTGATTGAGTTGGCATGGCACTTATTTTTTTTAAATTGTTCCGTTGTGGCGCTATAAATGATGAATGTTGCGGGACTTGCTTACGTCATTAGCATTGCAGCGCTTCCAATGTTGGCGCTCCAACGCTGAATTTTTTGCAATTTTTCCTGAGACTCCGGCGCTGTCATGTTGTTTTTCGGCGCTGTCCTTCGATCCACTGGGCGTTGATTTAAGTGAAATTTTCCTGAGACTCTGGGGCTGTAATATCCAAAATCGACACTGGCGCGTTGATGATGCTGCGATGTTGATAGTTGTGGTGCTGCGACGTTGGTTCTAAACTTAGCAAATTTTGCTCCGTTTCCTGAAACATTCATGCACAACATGAACTAAAACATACATCTTTATTTAAATTTAACAAAATAAAATACAACATAATTTTTACTTAACATGCAACGCCTTCTTCATAGTTGAATTGGCACTGCACTAAAAAAAGATTACCATACAAGAATATCTGAGTGCTGCCCAGATTGTTGAGCAAATCATGTGTTGTTGGTGGGTGAAGATTTTCAAAATCTGATCCAGAGTAGTCTTGCTAAGTTTAATTTGAGATGACATTTCATGCTATCCCTTCTTATGCTAAAAATTCTGAGCATTATGGTTGTTTTTCTGCATCGTACAGTAATGATAGTGAAGTTATGAAAAAATTTATGTAGCTCAGATACTTCTATAATGGATTTGTACATGCATTTGATATTAATAGTACTTGGACGCCTGAAATCTCTAGAATATGCTGAAAGATGCGTTTATCTTGCAGATTTTAAGAAAAACTAGTTTGATGATTCGTTTGTACTAGAATTCTCTTGTGATCCCGTTTAACATTAATATTACTTTTTTTATATGGCGCCCGCCCTTTTGTGCTGTATGAAATTTCCACACAATGTTTTTACATTTGCATCAATTTGCATGGTTTGCATATGAATTTTAATGGACCATGTATTCATTTGTCCGCAGGCATATATTTACATTTGTACTTTTAGATGCAGGAATTATTCACATACATACATATGTATGCTGTGCTAATGTCATGATGGGGTGTGATAAGCTTTTTTTTGGGTTTCAAACTGCAAGGAAAAAGGGGATATAAGAAAGAAGGGTCAGGAAATATAATTCTTTGTAATGGTTACAATTCTCTATTCATAGGATTTTCTACGAGATAAAAAAGAAGTCTTCCTTAACCAAATAGAAACAAATGTACAATATTATATTATATTATTGATATAACATGTATAAAAGCCTACCTAATATTTGTGAATGTTACTTCCTGCTACATACAAGTAGAGTTTATTCCTTGGACAATCCAGATTGGGATTGACAGTACATCATGTCGATATAGCTGGAATTCTTCTGAATAGAATTTTCCTTCAATGCTTAAAGATTTCTTTTTTCAACCTTTTTGTGGCCTTCCAATACTGTCTTCACCTACTTTGGCCATGCCTTCCAAAACTTACCTAGTTACCTTTAACCTGGAGGAGAAATGGCTTCCATTCCTAACTTGGAAATATTCTCACGCAAGGCTAAACTATTTGAGTCCCTTAGTAATGACATTTGTACATTACCTTTTTTAGGGTACATAGGGTACGCAGATTAGTCCTTCAAACTTCTCGATGAAATATCTGACAATTTAAATGTATTTTATTCTATCATGCAGGTTGGATTATGAGCAATATATATTCTTGACTTATTTTTCAATTCAATTTCATAGTTTCTTCTAACTTATTCATAATTTGTCCAAGACAAACTTCAGCCATACTTGTTTACATATTCCATAACCCATTACATTGAATTTTGATTCAACACTAAAACTTACCACTATTCAACACTAAAACTTACCACTAGATTATTTTTTTTAACTTCTTCATGTAACCAAAATTCCTACAAGAAATGTGCAATAACCTGATGTTTATTTCCTATCAATTATTGAGCTTGTATAATCTATATCCATATACGCTGTTATGCGAGTTCATTATTTCTATTAAATAAAACTACTCTTCCTATGTTACCTTTCAAGTAATGTAAAACTCAGTTAGCATTTTGCATATGTGCTTCTTTTAGAGTATATGCATGAATTGATTAATGCTAGTCAGATAAGGCTTTCCTTTGTTTACACACCTTGTTACCTATTTTCGTTTCTTCAACTATTGGCGGAATGCTCATGTAAGCATATTCTAGATCTCCATGTAAAATAACATTTTCTTACAGAATATTATTATCTTTGCCAATTGATTTGAGCTACAGGAGATAATAATTAATAACATTTTCAAGATGCTCATTTTTTTCGTAGGGGCGAATATTTCTTGATAGACAACTGCATAAGTTTGTGTGCAACAATTTGCAATAAACTTTCTCTTATATATTTTAATAAAGTCATCATACTTGTATTCCAAGATAAATACTCATATACAACCTATATTCTAAAAGTAATGGGAAGGTCAAGGT